TATATATATATATATATATATATATATATATATATACAGTTTTCAGACCAGTTCTGTTCGCTGGTTCTGTTTGGTTCTGTTTGCTGGTTTCTGGTGTTTCCCAGTCAGCAGCTTCTGTCCTTCCTGTTGTCTCTCAGGTTAGTTTTATTTTTTTTTACTTTACCTTCAGGATGTATTTCAAAGCCTTCATGTTTAAACAGAAGCAGACACTGCAGTCATTCCCCATCATCTAAAACACTCAGCTTGTCAAACTCAGAGTTCATTGGTTTATAACAATAGAAATATTTTAAATGTATGTTAAATAACAGCAAACATGCATATTATTCACGTTTAAGTTGTGATGCATATGTTTTTTATTTAAAATAATTGTCTTCCCAGTTACGACGAGTCACACAGTCGGTGGTAATGATTATAATATCAGTAAAATCATTTAATCTGGTCTGTTTCCTGTTTCGTGTTTCTGTCTCTGGTTTTAATTATCCAACATCCTAACCAAAGCAGGTGAAGCTGGATTAAAATAATCTGAATAATCTGTAAATGTGTCACTCACCTCCTCTACAGAGGGTCCAGAAAAACGTCACGACGCCCCAAAACACGACACACTTCACCTCCGTCATCGTCCGGTCGGATTTCAGCCGACTGCGCAGCCGAAGGGAAGAACAAGGCGTGACGGAGATTTAAAACATCTCACCAAACTGGATTCATGAAGCATCTGCCAGTGACTAACCAAGGAAACAATAATTATTAGGCAGCTTCAACCTCTACAGCAGGACAGGAAGAACATTTCATTAAATCAGGAAGGCTCTGGGTTAAAACTGTTTAAACAAATGATATGAGGTTCATGTTTTAAATAAAAGTAGCAGGACTGGATACCAGGTGTGTATCTGTAGATCTGTGGCAGTCACAAACTGTAACATTCCTGGAAATATGAGAAAAGTTAAAATAATAACCTGTTAATACACATGAAGACATTAAATGTTAAATGCAGATTAAAGGTAAATAAGTTATCAGGTTAACTTTGTTTTAAATTTATGAAGCTCTCGGATTCAGGCCATAATGTTCATGAAAAGTCCAACCTTTAGTTTCTTTGTCAGATTTTTGTCATTACTTTTATATTTGCCCAATATTTCACTCAAACGTTGCAGCTTTTTGCTCATGGGGTCAAAGGTCAGCAGCTCTAATTGGTGTGAACTCCAGTCTGACTCTGACCTGCATGTTTTTAAAATGTTTTGCTTTTTCAACACGTTGGATTCACACCTTCCAGTAATAAACTGATTTCTGACACCTGGCAGCAAGTTGAGCTGATAGATTTGAGCCTTAAGGTCAATCAGGAAACTTCATCTGCTGACCTTTGGCTCCAAAACCGATCATCTCCATAATGGATATATGTCTTTTAGTTTCCTTTGCTGCATAATGTACATTTATTCTAGCGTTAGGTAAATGTATCTT